TGGTTGGCTTCTTCTGAATGTATTGGGTTATTTGTGGCTAATCAAAGCTGTTTAATGGCTGGTCTTAAAGCCTCCATGAGGAAGTCTACTATCTAAATTGTTACTATTGTAAGGTAACACAAGTCATTCGAACAGTGAGTAATAAATGTAAGCAAGCGAGGATGTTCTGAAGTATGATAAACGTAATAGCAGGTGATTTGATAAATTGTATTTGATATAATTTTACAGATTCACAAAGATCAAAGAATGATATGCATAAGTACATTTGACACATTGCTAGCTTGACGCAGTTAGCAGCAACCTTTCCGCGGACCATCAAATTCACGACAACATCAGACCTACAAATTACTGGGGAGATTTTCAAAACATTTAAGTTTTAAAGAAATGGAGCTATAGCATCATTATTAAGATGGTTGCTTCTATTCCCAGAATTACTAGGTTCACCGTGGAAATGTTTTCTCATATAAATTGACAGTTCCAAGCCCATCTACAAACACGATTACTTTAATAGTTTCCTGTTACCTTGCTTAAGATCTTACTTGTTTATTGTTTTGTTTGTTTTCTTATTTTTCCATCAAACCTTTTTGCTTCGAGTCACTGCCTTATTGCATTATTTAAGTTTTCTTTGTTTAAGTTTGGTTCTTTGCAAGGACTTGCGTTGATTTTTGTGGAGTGGCAAACAGCGCTTCGTAACAGTTAACTATACTCTTTTGTGCTCATAGTCATAATGCAACATTAATTTTAATCCTGTACTGTAGTGTAGTCCTATTTTAAATGCAGGATATCAACAAAATAGATGTATACTATAGAAGGAATTCAGTTTGAATAAATAGCCTGAAATGCTCAATTCCACAAGGTTTAGTAGGAAGTGGTATGATCTCATCTCACCACATTCCCATCTCCCATACCACACTGCATTTCCCGTGTAAAAAACATAAACTCAAGAAAGGTATCTAGATTATATATTTTTTTTCAACGACTTTAATCTACCTAACAAAACCTTGTTTTGTTTTTCTTTAATTTGCTTTTTTTGTTTAGTTTTTAGTTAAATCCAACTATTATTATTATTAGTTTTCTTGTAAGTGTCCCAGATGTAGAGCAATGCTTATGGTGAAATAACCTTTTCTACATATTATGAAAAATTGATATGTAAAATGTATATTTGTGATATAAATAAATGTGAGAATAAGGAAGCAAGAATTATTCAAATAGCTATTATATTTTTTATCAATTAAATTAATTAATTGGTATGAATGGCTTTTACCGTAGCTAAAATTTAATTATGGCACTGACAGCAGTACGGTACACTGGCTATGAATAAGCATAACCCATATCTGACAGTCAGCATGCATTTTGGCAGAAAAATAATGCACCATGTGTAGCTCATCTAACACTCGCTTGCATGAGTAATAATAATAGACCCCACAAAAGTGATTCCCCCAAGATCCATCGTACGCAATTCCCCCATGATCAGCACTAGCTACCATTTCACACCTAATTCCTATAGTCTTAAAATCTCAGGAGTATACAGGGAGATTTCTGTACTGGTGTTTAGATTGTCTATGTCTGGTCGTACAAGACATTTAAGTGAATATGATTCTAGGTCTCTGTAGACTTATACAGGAAAGATAAGCCCCTTATTGAACACATCACAGGATTTCCTGTTGAGTGAATTCCCAAATATTATTACTGACAAATATAGGAGAATAAAACTCAAATGTTGACATCTTCAATAAAAGTTAACTTTAAGTATCAATGACTTTCAAATGGGATTAACATAAACCAATAATACAAAAAAAAACTGACTCAAAATATTTACTATAAAATTACTACATGTTGATACATTCATGAAGGATTTAAAATGAGTGTGAGAAATTAATACTTAATAAATAAATTAAAATACCAAAGATGGAGATGAGCTAAAAATGTCTCCTTTATCATATCAAGCTACTTAAAATTAACATGCTTTCATTTCTTATGTCTATTTTAATTATTTTTGTCTATTTGTAGCTTAGGATTGGAAATCATGTTTCCAATTGTTAAATATGTGTTGACATTTTGTTAACACCATTGAATCTACAACACAAGATGATTACAATGTCATTTATCAAGTTCTAATCATTTAAAAATTCCCTATGCATTTCAAATGAAAACATTAGAATAATTTTAATGTATCTTAATGCCTTGTACTCGCTTCTCATCGTCTTATTCATATATTCTCTCATTAGGAGGAAATTACAGGAGATAAACTAAAAAAAAAAAAGGCCCATTGGAAACAATTGCCAAAGTACATTTATCAATTATTATGCAATTTGTCAGCACACAATTCAGGAAGGCATAGTAATCTTTGATGTGGTGACTTGACACAACAATTAAGTGGGTACGTAGGTATTGTTAGGCCTAGATTGATTCTGACAAACTAAGCTAGGCCTGAAGGCAAAAACTTTAATCATAGATTCCTTGTGCATAACACAATAAAGTAATATAATTGTATTGAATTTTGCATGACTCAGGAAGCAAATCAAATTTCTACAAATAATAAAAAAGAATGATAGTATTTTATATTTATCTCTTATAACAGATTATCCTGGAAGTTACAAATACATTAAATGTGGAAATTTAATATTTTTATGATGGTAAAACATGTAAGGAATTGTAAATCAATCGTACACATTTATCCACTGCTCAGAATAAAAAAAAAATCTCAGTTTTTATATCTACAACATTTACCAATTTAATTCATAAAATGAATTTAAATACTATGTATAGTGTCAACAGGTTTTTTTATACAGTTCTCCTCAGCATGTAAGCTACTGACCTTGAAAAAACAAACTGTTTTCTCATTTCTGAAAATCTTTATTTTCTGATGAATGATGTAAAAATAAACATAGACATACCAAGTAAAATTAATGAAAAAACCATGTGATGTGAACAAATCCACATCTACCCTAGAAGCTTTCGGATTCAATAAGCCACATTACACATCATATTTAAGTTAACTTCTTCATACAATTGTAAGAGACAACAAATGACAAATCAACACCATTAAAGAGTCAACGAGGAAATTCAAATTTGTGGGGAAAAAAGTTAGCAAATGCTTAAAGGCTCGTTCTAGTTGGTTTTTAATTGGGTACTGACACTGCTGAAGTCTTGTGGATTTACTGTTAAATGATAAATCCTTTTCATGACTTGCTTCTAGAGACTGTCTGAACTTCTTCCAACCTATAATTTTAGCACTTGTCACAGATTTTACCTCAAATTAACTTTCACAATGCAGAATGAAAAGGCATTATATTGACATAGGATTGATAATTATTGTAGTACAATATGGCAAAACATTTTTAATACCTTGTTTTGCAAACTTGTGTTATTGTTGAATGTAAACAGTGTAGTAATGGGATGGCTAAATGCTTTTAAATTCATAATTGGGAAAAAAATATACATATCTTATTTTTGGAGATTTCAAGACAGCGGCGAGCGTCATAAAAATTTTAATAACTTCTTAAAGAAAAATAGGGAACCATTTAATAAATAATAATAAAAAAATAAATGTATAAAATAAAATTTAAAAGCATTCTGATAATTTCTCAACAGTATTTTATGTACCATTTAGAATATTATTACGGTATTTATTCTTAATTGCCATTTCTACAGTCAGTTGAACATTTGGCAATAAAATTTGACTAAATTTTGTAGATAAGATATTATTATTTTTTTCTTGATATCATTGAATTTCACTTATATATTTAATATAAAATTATCAGTTGGATTTTTATTGCTAATTAGGAAATAAAATTTGACATTAAAGAAATTATTAATAATAATAACAATAATAATAAAATAATAATTACTTTAAATGCATTTATATCATAATATTTTATTTATGTACGATTAAAGTAAGATTGCCTTTCCAAAAGTCAACTAGATATGCCACCAACAACTTTGATGGATGCTGGCGCATTATAAATGCACAATTATTAATTATTAATATCTTTAAAAAATAAATGAGTTATAAAAAATATTAGGTAAATAAACCTACTTCTGAAATGCAGTTTTGTTTCAAAGGGACTGTTCTGAACTCAAGTTTACACTTAATAAAATATCAGCCATTATTGTTGGATCTGTATGAAATTATATTATCTTGTTAAGTGTTGCATTTAATACCATTAAGAATTTTTTAAGGGTAGTTTTATAGGTTAAGAGGTACTATAGTTAGTTATTGTGCATTGTGTACATAAATGTTTCTTATCATCTTGTTGCATGATCTTACCTACTTAAGTACAATATATTACGGTAGTTTTACATTACAAAATGTATTAATTAATGCTGAGCAGATCATTTAAAGGTGGTCCATAGGCATACCTTGTCCTAATTATTTTCATTCCTTTTTAAAAATATGTTTATAAAATATTGGAAAATCCTTAAAAATTTATTTAAAATGAAAAAAAAAAATAACTTACCAACTTCAAATGAAACAGATTAAAACAATTTAGTTCAGTTTTTATTGATTTATTATTTAGTTTTTGGTGATTTACATATTTTTCATTTTCATTTTGTGGTAATATAGGCCAAAAATAAAATGTTATTTATATTCAAGATCATCATTATCACTGAGCAGTGGGCTCTAGAAATAAAGTATAAGTCTCCCCTAAGTAGGTCTACACCACATCTGGAAAGGCACTGAAAAAACAACTTTGGGGAACAAAACAGGCAACACTTTCACTGCACTAATATGCTAAAGAAACAGCTCTGACATTATTGGCGGATGTTATGTTGCCTTACAGGTGTGATATATTATGCGAGTGAACTAACAATAGCAAAACACAATACGTAACCTACTAACAAGATAAATAACATTCTCTTCATTTTATGGGAGCCGCCCCTGTTTTATCAATATCGCCGTGCATAAAGCGGGATATCTAGGATTTTAGGAATAACAAAAGTGTACTTTTTCCTTAATTCTCACTGATACGTATCATTTCCTTTGTTTGTAATCTTACCTGCACATAATTTCATGAGTAAGCAGAACCCTACACATTTCTGGATTCTTGTCCTGCCCTTCATATATTATAGCCTGAAAATGAAACAGAAATTTTTAAACATTGTTTTCAAAAAACTCACATTAATATGTTTCAAATTAGATCAAGTTTCAAAATACTTCACTGTAACTCGTGTGACAGGTTATGGCATTTTAATAATTAGCGGTTACCCAAAAAAAAAATCCCAGAAAAATTGAATGCATACTTTATATGATAATCATAATCTTGATTAATTTATCAATAAGGCCTATTATGACACAAGAGATGGGGAATCAACTAGAAGATGTATTCAAAAGTATTAAAAAATAAATAAAAAAACAAAAAATTTAAAAAATTTAAATTTTAAAAAATAGCATTTTAACTAGTAAGAAACTATACATTAACTAATAATAAAAAATATTGAATAGAGAATGTTGATATAAAATCATGTCATACTGAAATATGAAATATTTTTAATTATAATTTCTATAAATTTTGTAAATTGAAAACTTTCCAGAAATGTATCCACCAATAAACATGAATAATTATTAACTGAATTTCAATGTTAATCTGTTTTTCTTTTTGCTTTATGAAGTCAATATCGGTATTTTATGGGCACAGCCTCTGATTATTAGGCTAATTTTTGGAAAATGAAGCGAAATAAATTTCTACTTAAATAAATAAAACTAATTATTATCATTATTATTTTTATTAATTTTTTATTTTATTTTGATTATGTTCATATAAATTGGTAATGTCTTTCAATTCCCCGATTCCTAATATGTAATATAAATAATTTTCAAAAATGTGATTATCATTATTATTAGCATTTGCTATTCTATTAACAAACTGCAAAGGTTCTAAAATAGTTTATTCAAAATACAGGGTGCATTTCCTATAAATGAACCTGTCAAACATTATCAGAGAACGTACTCAAAACAAAGTTAGATTTGCTATTTTTAAACATTAAATCAAATTATTTTTTTCCAAAAAGAGTTGATAGATTAGAGACTTTCAAAGTACATACAATACATTTGTCAAAATTAATTTTCTTAATTTTCAATACAAGAATTACAAATCGCCTGAACAAAACACAAATGTGTATAGCTTGATAGGACAAGAATTTGCCTTTGAGGGAGTTAAACTAAAGGTCAGTAAAAACGAGGAGGATGTGGAGATTTACAAATGGCTGACCAGTGCCTTGGTCACAGTTGTCCATACAAATTGGCTATAATTGCAGCGATTTCAAGCAGTTTATATAAATACAATGAATCAGGTACGCCAGAGGCTATCTATACCAGCGCTTCATTTGTGTTATTTTACTGTAAATTACTACTGATTCTCATAATTAGATATTGAAAAAGAATAGGAAATCTAAGGAAATATTAACCAATTAATAATTATCCTATCTGAACAAAATTAATTGTACATAAAAACCAAGCAGAAAAGATACAAGATAACAAATTAGTTATCAAGATGTATAAGAATTTGGTTCAGTGTAACCTAGTCCATATATTTCCTACCATTTTATTCTACAAAAATATATAATTTAATTGTTTTATTTAAATTAATATTGAAGATAATGTCTCTTTTAAGCTGATGTAATTTTAAAAATTAATTTGATTACTGAATTGCTTACATTGTATATTTAAGTTATTAGCTATTAATTTAGAATTACATCAGAGAAAAATTACTTTCCTTGCCTATTAAAACAGATATAAAAATGTTCCTATTCTCTTTTACTTATACTGTTGAGCCTTAAATTTGCTGAAACATTATTAAGGATTTTAATAATAAAAGGTCTGGCAAATCAGCAACAACTGAATAATTTTGACCTGTACCTCATTTAAAATTAATTAATAATTTATATGATCCTTTCACATATACTATCCAATGTTTTTTATTAAATTTTTTAGGTTTCTTTACTGGAAATTTTGTCAGAAACTCCATCTTTAAAATTATAGATCAGATATGGGTATGTTCAAATAGTTTAGTTGAAAGATAATCATTCAGAAGACAATTTAAATTAAGACTATGTTCATTAACCTCCATTACTGTGTACACTTGCTTTATTATCCCCATCATTCTTATCAATTTTACGTGACTGCAAATCCACATTAACTTGATTGTACACCTCTACGACTTTAGTATCTATGGACTTATACACCAGTGGTTTACCTTACTGCAGGTGGACCCCGAGGGCTAATAAAACTTGGTCAGTTAGACGAAGCAGCATCATCTCAAGGAACCCAATGCCTATGATTAACTCACAAGTAGCATGGTGTAATTCATTAATGTAACATTATACAACTTAATGTTATCAGCTCTGCTTCTCATCTACTTACACCACACCATTAAATTGAATATCAATTTTATAATGGACACTTCATTATGATAATCATAAACAATTACTTTGACCAGTTATCCTTCTGGATAAACTCGCATGATTGGGGTGATTAGACTTTGTTAGAGCCTAATCAACATTAATTAACCTTTCCCTGAGGCTATTCCAATGTATATATTATTTGTGTTTTTTATTGGTTTATCTTTTCTACCTTGGGGCATTTTCATTGTATCTATAATACTAGGGAAATAGACTATTGAATCAACTAAAATGCTGCCTTAATATAAAAAGCATTTAAACATTTAAAGAAAAAACAACTAAAAATTAAATTTAAAGCTATTGTAAAATATGCAAAAGTATAAAAAATTTAATTATGAAAATGAATAATAATAATTCAAAAGAACCAAATAATTCTCAAACTTTAAATAAAATTTAAGGAATTCAGTATATAGGAATGGTTATAATAAACATTTGTAAGATAATTATTTTAAGGTTTATGAACTTGTATAAATATGCAAGGAAAATGATGTACGTTGCTTCATTATAATAAAGTAGGGAATTCACATATTGAATTTTATTTCACAAAGTTATTACACCAACACTGTCTGATGATAAATTCAGTGTTTCCAGATTCTATTGATCTTATTTTCCATAAAATCAATAAAATAAATATTTTCTTCCATGATAATATATCACCACGAAAACTAGTTCACATAAATTGAATAAAAAATGACCAAAGTACTAAAATATAGGAAACATATGTTCCGGAGATTTAAGAATTAATGTTCTTTATGATATCAATATTCATAATTTCCCCCTTTTCTTTTTATCCCTTCTAGCTATAGGCCTATGGACTTTAAACACGTAAACTAGGTAGGAAAATGAAGCATGAAAATTGGATTAAATTTACAAAAATGATTTACAGATAAAAAAAATGATAATTTGTGTTATTATGGAAAAAGGCTTAAGTAACATACATCATTTAGTATTTTTATCATTTTTCCTCTCAAGACTAAAGTTGTCTAAGGTAATTTTCACCAAGCACAACTGACAGAATATATCGAATGCACCTGTTTCCAGGCAAACTGCTTAGAGAGGAAACTTCCATTTTGTTTAAAGCAAAGGTGTACTAAAAACACTCAAATCTTTCTCTTCTGCCGCTCATTTATTCAACACATTCACATAACACGCCCTACAACACACCAAGTACTTTGAGAGGATCAAAAAGCCACAGCGCTATAAACCAGGAGTAAATGTCTCTGAATTTCTATCCAATTAACTAATAACATCTGTAACATCATATCATCACAGTGCTAAATGGACCTATAAACACTAAAAACGCAAGTGCTGAAATGCAAATGCATTATATTCAAAGTAAAGACTGTCGGAATTGCACTTTAGTTTATAAGCTCATTATACTTCGGTCAACGCTGTAAAAAAAATTGAGATACCGATGGTTCTCCCTTGATGACAAAGGAAACAAGATTCTATATACCACATCTATAGTCTTATACAAATATTATGTTCACTGGAAATTATATAACAATTAAAAGAATAAACAAAATTCTGACGGATGTGACTGACAAGAAAGATACAGAATCAATTTAATATAATCTTGTATAAAATTAAATGGTTAAAAACACAAGTTTGAAAATTTATACTTTTCATTATAAGTATAAGTCTTGCTAATCGAATACTAAATATTAAAATAATATATTAAACATTAGAACATATGCTTAGTTGCATTAACCAATTGCGATCGTGGATTCATTTACATTAAAATATTAGATTCCTATCAAAAACATAGTTAATATCATAAAATGTTTACATACAAAAAAATACACACAAAAACTGCACACACATTATACACAACACACCAAACACAGACTCGCACATAAAAAAGGCACATAAACGAGAAATGGCGTCTATAAATGAATCACCGTTAATAGCGTTCACATCTGACAATGATATTTTCCCAATCTGTTTATGAATTAACATTTTACGATGGCTTTTTGCTTTACTCAAACCACAAGCCAATTAGTAATGCTTACAAGTCTCCAAGAAATGTCCGCCATTGGTCCACATTGTTAATTGCAAATTTAATTCGCCTTAAATTATTCATACTGGAATACAGGAACAAAATCAAGGTAATCAGAATTATGGAAAATTCAAAATAAAAGAAACAAATAAAATTATAAATATGAATATTATATTTTTTTAATTTTTAATATAAAAATTGACCATGATCAGTATCGATCCTAAAAAATAAAAAACAATACTCATAATGTATTAGTCAAGAAATACGATATTTTGTTAGTATAAAAGAACAAAGGCAGTTTGAAGAGTTGTAATGATTAAAGTGTCAAAACCGACCAAGTTCATTTCAAATAAGAAATAAATGGCTACACGTGAAGCAGAGACAAGAAAAATATGAAACTTCACTGATTCACTTCATAACTAATAGAAAAAAAATTCAGAAAGTTTGCATTACTCCTGTCAAACTTTTCATTTATTATTTTCACTTGAATTATAAATACAAAGACTTTTATAAAGAAAATTTTAATATATAATCAACATTAATAATTAGGTATTTCCCTCATGGATTGGTTGTGACAAGTCCTTTTTGTAATCAAGTGTACAAGATGATTATACAATAACCACCCAGATATTGAAACAACAGCCACACTTTGAAATATAATACAACAATTATTG